TTCCAAGTGTTCCCCAGAAGAGGCTGTGACATGTAAAGCAGCCTCAGCTGTTCTCCAGGAGTTGGAGGTTTATGGAAGTTTCCCTCAACCCTGTGACTACCTGACAGGTTGTATGTTGGGTTTGATGTCTGTCTGCTTCCTAGAGCAGCAGCTGTGTTGGGGCAGGAACCGCACTTAGTCACGTCTGTGTCCCCAGCACATATGTCAGGGCTCCTGCACCCAGAAGGTGCTCAGAAAGTCAAGATGAATGAGTGGGGCCAGAGACAGGCACCAGGTGTGGGTTTCTGACAGTGTGTTTCTTTGTTTGTTTGGATTATTGAAGGATACAACCACGTTTTCAATGTTTCTGTGCAATATATTTGTGTCTTGTTTGACTTGTGTTTTTATCTTAAATTTTTACAGTTGTAAATAATTTTTTTTAGTAAACACTGGATCCAAAATTCTTTGGTCTTGGTGCATTTTTTAATCACAGTTGAACCTAATTTTTATGTGCCAAAGATACTTCATGCAGCTCCTGCCTTTAAAAGATACTCATGAAGCCAGACGTGGAGATGCATGCCTGTAATCTCAGCACTTGAGAGGGTGAGGTAGGAGGATAGTGGAGAGTTTGAGGCCAGCCATATAGCCAGACCCTATCACCAAAAAAAAAAAAAAAAAATACACACTTGCAGGAAGATGGTAAAGAGCAGGAAGTCAACCTTTCCAAGATTCAGAGTCCAGACCCTGGAGTATAGCAGCTTGGGGAAGAGAAGAAGGACCCTGGAACCCAGCAAGGATCTACTAAAGGGAGAACTGGAGCCTGTGGGAAAGAGAGGAGAGGTACCTCAATGCAGAAGAGGGAGGTGGCAGATAGTGCTTTCTCCCTGACTCCCAGCTCTCAGCATGAGAGAGAATCTATACAGGCACAGTGATAGTGATTCCAGAGGCCTCCAGGGAGAGACGCACCAGTGGAACAGAGCAGAGGATGTGGGCTGCAGCAGCTGATAAGGGACTTTGGTTCAAATATTCCCAGGAGAGGCTAATTGGCTGGACACTATTTTGGGGGAGGGGACAGCTGAGCCTGGAACTCAGACCAGCCATGAGTTGGCTTCATCTTGGGGTGCTCAGTGTCAAGGTGAGGCATAGACTTAGGAGACAAGCAGAGTCAGGTAGTTAAGATCAAGCTGGCAAAAAAAAAAAAACACCAAGTGTTGGCTGAACAACTTGAGTCCCAGCCTCACAGCCCAGACCTGGATCAGCCTGAACTTCTATGGAGTTGAAGTCCCAGGATTGATAGGTTTTTCTGGAACCCCACCCTAATTCTACTGCAGGCTCCCTCCTTTGTCTACCAGTGACAGCAGAGACACACGGAGAAGTGGAGATTACCACAAAACTACTGTCAGGGAAATCTCTTCCTTTTTTTCTTCTTGCCTTTTTTTTTTTTTTTTTTTTTTTGATTATTTTTGTTTTTTCATGAATGTGACAGTTGTTTTTAGTTTTTTGTTTTGTTTTGTTCTTGTTTTTGTTTCTTCTTTCTTCCTTTTCCTTCTTTGCCAGGTTCCCAAAGCTTGGTTAATCTTAGTCCTTCAGCTTAGCTTCTAATCTCTCTCTCTTCTTCTGTTTCTCTATTTTTCCCTCTTATTCCTTTTAAATTTTCTCCCCTGAGGGTAAAATTGCTTTATTGAAGGTGTATTTACTATATAAAATTTTCTGGTTTGTTTTACATTTTGTTATATAACTAGAAATCAAGTCCCTATGATTTACTGTGATAAATTAATAGTTACCACAGTTTGTCATTTTCTAGGCTGTGCTGGATGATACTGTTGTTACTGATTGTACTGTTTTATCTAAGGTGACATAGTTGTGATCAGTGGTTCATGCTTATATGCCCGTACTGAAACTGTCTGAGGGTCATAAAAAAAAAATACCATAGTCCAATAGCATAGAACTGAGTGCTAGGCCCAATAGACAGCAGCTTCTCATCCCTAGTAAATGGAAGAGGTGGGATCTTAGGACAGACTCAAAAGCCAAAAGCCAGCTACATATAGAAGATATGTCTGAAAAGTAGCCATTTCCTAAGGAGGTCTCAATACTAGTAATAAAGCTACCTTCCATAAGCAGTTTACAAGCATTAACACAGAAAACAAAATTTTAAAAAAATTTTAGATATGGAAGCAAGGTGGAATCCCAGACCTCCAGCTTGCCAGGTCAAATCTGGAGGTCAGTGAGATAAAAGAAATCAGAAGCCAACCACCTGAACTTTCTGAAAGGGTACCAGCAGAAGTAACAAAACTGATGAATTAGGCTCTAGAAAAAAGAATGAGAAATAATTTCTCAGATAACTAAAGAAATGATCGTAATGAAGGACAGGGTTTCTTTATCTAGAGTAGATACAGATTTAAAAAAAAAAAAGCTTAGCAAAATGATGGAAACCATGAATGTGCAACATAGGAGAGAATTAGATTCCATGAAACAGATTCAAACATATCCAGGAGATTTAAAATTCTATTCAAAGTATACACAACAGAGTCAACCAATGTAAGGACAGAGTATCAGAACTAGAAGACAGATTGAGGGTAGAAATCATCAAAAGAAAAACTCTTTTAAAATAGCAAGGAGCCATAAAAAATCAATCCCACAGCTGCTAGATGTTGCAAAGAAAAACAATATAAGAGTGGAATCAAAACGCAGAGTAGGGCATGAAGATATAAAACAACCTGTTAACAGAAGTAATGGCAGAAAATTTCCAAGCATGGAAAAAGAATTTGACATACAGTAAGTGAGGCATACAGAATTCCAATTAGCCATAATCAGAAAAAAACTACACCAAGGCATCTAATAGTCAAGATTCCAGAAATTGAACACAAGAACAGAATATTAAAAGATGTTGGATAACAGAAACAAATAACCTATAAAGGAAAGCCAAAATTAT